TGTAGAAATTAGAGAAATTTTTTCTTGATAAGATTTGATTGTTTGTTTGACGATGAATCATCATGCGGATGTGTCTGCATATATGACCGCATTTGTCGGTTTCACTATTCTTTACGTGTTAATCTATTATATTCTTTTTTATTCGATATATATAATCGTTCGTAATTGATGTTACATAGTTCATTCATTTAGTTCATTTCACTCACCAGTGATGATTGACCCGAGAATACTCTCTTTTACCACTTCAAATCGAGGGAAAAGAATGCTTATTTATTCAGGATATGTTTATCGACTAAAGCAGTCCACAAAAAATGTTAAGTACTGGGTTAGTCAATCAAATAGCTGTGCAGCGAATGTTCATACCAATCCAAGCGATCAATTCTTTAAAGCTAATGGATAACATCAATATTTGCTCACACCTCACACCCACACTCACTGTAACGATCAATAAGACTCTGTTGAGTTTATATCGTATTGACAAACTGGATAGAGGTGGAGTAGCTTACAGCCACTCACGGCAATGATGTTTATTCGTTTATTCACATACCCAGAGTGTAACAACTTCATACACAACACACGTATATATAGGAGAGAGAGATAGAAGAGAGACAGGAGAGATATATATTATAATAATGGAAAGAGAATAGAAGGAAGAGGAAGGACAATCATCGAAGCGTGCCATCAATATCGGCACACTCACACCCTTCAAATATTTTATTTCTAAATCGGTAGTTTTTTATATCATTTGATGCTCATGTATTACATTTCGTTTAAACTTAAAAAACACCCTTATTTTTCATGTTAAGTTAAACTGAAGATTACTTTATTTTACACTTCTCTGTTTTACCCTTCACAATTCGCTCAAAATATGTTTTCGCTGAAAAAATTTTCGCTAAAGGAATTTTTCGCCAAAGGATATTTTCGCTATTTTATTCGCTCAAAATTTTTCGCTTAAACGTTTTTCGCTGATTTGCCACCATATCAAAATTATCATAAATAAAAATATATTCTATTATTGAACTCTTCAAATCACTCCTTAAACATCATGCAATTAATCTCTGTATTGTTTTTATTCAGTTCAGTTTTATACGAGTTTGAATTAATTCGATTTATCTATCAGTGAATTATGAAAATAAGATCTAAGATGCAAACTATCTTTATTAAAATTTACTATTTTGGAAGAAAAAAATTGTTCGTGTCTCATTTTATTAATTTACAATCTTTAGGAAATTTCAATAAAATTATTTCTACTTCAGAAATGAAGACTTTGAGATAGCAGCAAAGTAAATATGCTAGTATTACGTTCTATTAAAATGAAATAAAATCTCTTAAATTAATCCAAGGTACATCACACATTAACATTGTATTGCTTAATATTTTTATGTTAGAACTAGGCCTATACCAGTTCAGAACTGAGAACTTTAGTCGTATTTCCTAACCAGTTCCTTTCAAAAGAACTGAACTCGTCACCCATTCTCTCTGTGTAGAAATATTCGACCATTTTGCGATGCAGACTAATATAATATGAAAATATTATCTATGTATCTATGTAATAATATACATAGTTACCAGTTCTCGAAAAAAGAACTGGTAGCTGCCACAGGTCTAGTTAGAACAAGATTTCATAAGTGTTTTATTTAAATCATTTGGTTTCACAGCTAATTTTAGTATTTATGGTGTTACTGTTTAACCTTGAAGTATTGTGACGTGTCCATCAGAACTTTGTTTTGAATTGAAAAAACGAAATTAAATTTAAAGCATAATGACAATCATGTTATTTAAATCTTTATTTTAATATTACTGCTAATTCTAATTCGATACTCCTACGCTAAAGTTTGAGTTGATGCCTATAGAACATTAAAAATAAAAAAACACAAGAAACAGTTGTTTTTTGTGTACTCAAAAAAAGGGAGTACACTCTAGATTCGGTCAGTGTGTCTGTCCGGCCGTTGACACGATAATCTTTGAAAGTCTCATCCAATTGTCTTGAAATTTTGTACTAAATCGACTCAGTTTTTGCAGTACGCATAACAATTGGATGCGAATCCGATGTTTCCTCATTTATTTATTCATGTAATCATCTTTTTTGTCACATGTTCTTTGTATTAACTCAACATTTGCATTCTTCCATAGAAGTTTTCTTTTCTGATGCCGCATAAATTGAAATCAAAATAGGTATGCACTTTGAGAGCATAGTATTTCAAAATCATTCGTTTTGTTATGTTGTTCGTTAACTGTCAGCAAATATAATGTAAGTATATAGCTTTGCTTTTTTTTTGTTGACTTTGTCTACTAAGAACTTTTACAGTTAGTTTGGAAAAAAAGCATTTTTATTTTTCCATCGTAAACCCATGATCTAAAAATAAGTGTCCGCCGAAATGATTGGCTAGAGAATTGTTTCCTTTTTGTGAGAAGTATCCACTTCAGACAATTGAAACCATTAAAAAAAATCATGCTTCAAATGATATTTTTATGTGTCATAGCAATCTAATCCATCGTCATTCCTCATCAATAGTACCCCGTTCTAAAATTGAGTATAACAGAATTCAAAATTCTTCGTACTTTCCGGGCAATTTTTTCTCGTCGAGCTCGTTTTTATTCACCTTTACTTTGCTTTCGAACGATGCAGAATTTATATCTCATGATGTGAAAAGACTTTTCTTGTGCAGTGTAAAGAATTATTTTTCTTTCATTTTTTTTATTGCTACTGGTTGCTATAGAAACTATCTGGAAAATGTTATTGCACAAAAGAACGCACGTGTTTTCCTTTTTCTTTTTCTTTTACCATTTTTGAGCTGTTCATTGTTTTCTCTTCATATTTACATTTTTGGAATTTTATTTACACAATACAGTATATACATATACTCTGTGTAATCTTTTAGTCATTATAGATTTCAATATGGGAGGTTGTGCTGCACGTGAAAATGCACCTGTGCGTCACGTAATTGGACGAGTCTCTTCAAATAAATTCATAGAACCTAAAGATCGAGAAAATCTCGAATCGTACTATTTATTTTGGCTTGATAATACGGCAAGATCACCTGAGTTTATGGAAGCTTCAGATGAATTACGCGCCGTAATAAATCATGTTGAAATTTTCGAATCAAATGAAGAATGTGTGCGAAGATTTGAAAAAATTAAACAAGGGAAGATATTTCTAATTGCTAATCTTACTCAAGGCTTACTTTTATTACCAAGAATTCATCATCATCAAGAATTATGTTCTATTTACATGTACCCTAACCGGGATAATATCGATATGAATGAAATAACCTATAATTTTAATAAGGTAGCGTTATGGATAACTCGATTGGTGTAAAAGAATGTGTTTTTTTTTCTGTTAGGTTCGAGGAATACATGATTCATTCGCTACAGCTAAACGATATTTAGAAGATGATGTCAAAATGCATACAGATCTTGATGAACCAATGATAGTGAACTTTAATGAAGATGACAATGAGTCGGAATCTCAAGAAAGATTTAATTTATTTCTCAAAGTAGTTAATACGAAGGCAGACGATGTTTATGATGATCGAACTCAAAAGCATTTGATTGACACGTATGAAGAATACTACAAAGGAAACGATAGTGAAACAAATTTTATCGATGAATTTTCTCGTTTGTACAAAGCTGAAGATGCTATTACATGGTATATGCGTGGATCGTGTCTACATCGTTTACTTGCACGTGCATTTAATGAACAAAACATGTGTTTACTTGTTGATATGTATTCATTCATTGTGGATGTTAATCGAAATATAAAAACCAAAAGTTTAACTCAATCATCGAAATTACATGTTTTTCGTGGTCAATTCCTTTCAGCTGGAAAACTCTCTCTTTTTAAAAACCATATCAATCAATTAGTAACAATGCATTGCTTCTTAAGTGCTCAGATATCACGCGATGACGTTGTTAATCTACTTGATAGTATCGATCCGATTGATAAAACTTTCGTACATATAATATTCGAAATTGATGCATCACAAAATTGTATACTTGTTGATGATAGTGAATCGTCTGCATCAAAAACAGCTCTGTTCATGCTTGGTTCAGTCTTCAAAATTGTTGATGTTACTGAAACAACAGTAAGATTATCTCAATATACTGCAACTTCAGATGATAATTTTGACTTAGCCAATGAATCGCCTGAGATTATAAAAGGTATACTTACGTATTTGAAAGACGGACCTGCTAAAGCGATTCGATATTTTCACAAAAATTTGCTTGGTCTATCTGAAACCGATCTAGTAGCACGTTCATCGATACACGGACAATTAGGATATTTAGAACAACAAGTAGGTCATTCGGAAATAGCAACTCAGATGTATGAGAAATCAATGAATGATAGAACAATTGAATTTAGGGTATATCTTTTCTATCTTGATCAAGCAGCTAAACATTATGCTAATGTACTTCGAGATTGGGAAAAAGCGAAAGTTATTTGGCTACAAAAACTTGAGATTCAAAATGCTTTGCACATAGAAGAAGGCAAGGCACAAACCTATGAAAATCTAGCACGTGCTGCACTTATGACTAAACAAAATGATACAACAATTGAATATACATCAGCAGCAATTAAAATTTTACCAGATGATCATCCTCATCTTTCATATCTTCGACAACAATTAGAACATGCAAAAACAAACGTATCACTAGAAACGACGAGTTGATAGAAAAAAATGTTCGGTTTTTTATTGATTTATGTTTAATAAAATCAATAAAAGGCTTTTGGCATATCGCTCGAGGTGTATGGACATAGATCTGTTGGTGATACAGGATATGTTACTGGCGACAATAGATAAAGCGTGACAATGAAATTTGTCTGCTTTATCTGCAGAAGAAAGATAAGCGCTAAGTAAGTTTCTAGTATAAAAGATAAAACCAAGCTCCTGCACGTGAATTGTAGGAGTCGTATATTACATTTTTCTTATCGCACAGTTATTTACGATTCACCCCGTATACCTCTTGACATGTAATCACTAATTTATCGTTATTGTATAGCGTTGTATTTTCCAATGAAGTTATCTTATATTTCTTTTGAAATGTACATAAAATAGCCTGAAATTTCTTGAGAATCACTTTGACATGCTCCTGGAGTGCGAAATTTCCGCTTTTTCTTTCCTTGCAAAAGCTCCATTATCAAATAAAATACATCGATCCGAACCATATAAAAAGAATGTATCATGACTATAGGCTCTTATAAAACAGGCTGTTCAATATAAAATCATTTCAATGGTAACGAACGTTTCATTTATGTTTTTTTTTCTTCGGGCGTTTTATCAAAATAAAGACTAGATGTCATAATCATGGTACACTTTATCAATGTAGTTGACATCTGTATCAAAATCGCTTAAATTAGCTGAAATTGTCATTGATAAAAAGCGCCATGACAGCTGTGTTGTACTAATCACTAAATGAATGCACCTATCATTGAATATATTTTACTTATCTCAATAAAATAATCTTATCAGAAATTTTCACGCCTATTTGAACTTAGTTTATCACTAAAAAAAGCTGGCCCAACAAGTGTATTCATACAAGCTTGAATGTAGAGAGCCTCTTAGATGTTTCACTATGTGAAATAATATTGGTCCGATTAATTGATAATGAAATTGAAGAAAATAGTATTCAATTCAATTAGTAAATATCTCAATAATAAATAAGATTGTTGAAAAGCAAACGCGGGGCAAAATCGATAGTATAAAGCAACGATCAATATTCGAATAAACACTCGAATCAATTATCAACAATTATTTACATGTTAGGATACACTCAAGTATTTGTTTGATATCGATGATAGGGCTAAATAGTATATAAACAACAACAGTGCGCTGCAAAATAGCAAAATGCCGACACCAGATTTTGTTTGATATTTAATCATCAAACTGATATGATGCTCATCTAGTATCAGGCAATTCGATATGTAATAGAGACACTATTGTTTTCGAATAATAATTTGCTTTGGAAAAAACACCCTATATCAAAAGTATGTTACTTTTCGTGGTTTTTTTCACTCATAAGCATATTATAAAGATTGCCTCTAGAAAATGATGTAAAGCCGTACTCTATGAACGTCATATGATCTCTGAAAATTTGTTCTGATGCAGTATCAATTTCTATTAAAGTCAAGAAAACTCATACATAGATATTTATACATTAAACGTTCTATGTCAAAATGTTTTCCTTGATAAATGATATACGTCATCACTGTCACGTAATATAGAATACATGTTATATGGCAGCGGTTGAGTTGTATATGTATTTAGCAATTTCTTCAGACTAGAAGACTTGTAGATCACGCTATGAATAGCTCGAGGTTATTTCCGTATACTCTTATATATGTACGAAACGTGTATTTAATAACGTTTGTCTTATCTATCTTTCTTTTCCTTTTTTTCTGCTGTGCTGGGATGCAGATATGCGTAATCGTTACCCCTAAGGAAAGAAAAATAATTGTTTCTCGATACAATCCAAGATATACAGTTAGCATACCACTAATACATCGCGTTTAAAATAACGCACAGTTGTTTCTATACAAATTAAGATGCACTACTTGTCGTCATTATTTTTCTTTACTATAATTTTAATCTTAGCATTGTCTGCCATACAAATAAATGCTAAGCCTACACAAAAACCGGCGGCAGCAGCAGCATCAACAACAGTAGCGCCACTTAAATCAACAAGTAAAGCTGCTACTACTACTATAAAACCACATGGAAAAGTACCAGCTGCTAAGCCTGCTGTTAAAGTTGATAAGAAAAAGAAGAAACCCGAAAAAAAAAGGTATAATTCTCAATCCTATGCTAATCCGAATTTCTAGTTTTTCTTAAATTCAAAGAATCTATTTATCTTTTGTCGGATAAGATTTCATTAAAAATATACTTTTTTTCCTGTAAATAGGTCAGACTTCTTTCATTCTTCTAGTGCTTTAACAGAAAACTCTTGAAGATTATTAGATGTTTTCTGGTGTTTTTATTATTAATATCTTTAACGTGAAAAGGAATTATGATCTAAATTATTCAATGTTTCTCTCTCTCTCTCTCTATAGTGAAATAGCTAAGTCAAATTCATGGGCAGTACCCAATGCAGCTCAAAAGAAAGTATTTAATGATGTAAGTCTATCATAGTATCCTATTATTTACTGTAAACCTTATTGTATTATTTAGTACAAAGCTATTTTACGAGCGCAACTTCTTGCTCGAAAACATGATATATCTGCGACTTATGTATTAGAACCAGCTAAATATGGTTCCCAAGAGGCCGATAAAACAATTTTACATCATTATTTAGTAAGAAAAAGAATCAATTAAAGAAAAAAAGACCAACATATAATTATACTTTTAGATCAAATTACCAGATTCAAAATATGCTCATGCTATTATCGCTACAAACAAAGATCCAAAGAAACCCACACAAGTCAGTGAAAATAATGCTTCAATTCGTCGTACAGTTTATGATAATCTTGCAGCAGCTGAAGTCTGAAGAACTATATATCTTGGTTATGAAATCAAAAAGAAAAAAAGAAGAAAAACAGTGACATCCTTCTATTCTTTCCTGTGTGCGCTTTCCCTTTATTTCCACATATACACATTATATTTTCTCTTTTCTTGCGTTTTGACACACTCGAATTAGAATCGTTGTTGGCTCCCATTTTTCTGAGCTCTGGCTTCTGTTCTAAGAAGAAGACGAAGCAGGAGAAGAAAAAACGAGAAATAAGCATTGTGTTGATGTAAGTCAACAGAAAACGACTTTTTTCTGTGCGGCACTGCCATAAGAAAAGAATTCTGATGTTGTTATATGCAGAAAAAAAATGAGAGAGAGAAGAAAAATGCTTCTCACTACGAAGATGAAAAAAAAACATTTGAAGATAACGAGAATATTATAAGGTATTGTTGAATTATGTTAAAATAATATTCATGGAAAGCATTTACAGGTAAGATATCTTTTTCAACAGACAGTTTCTAGTTAATTTTTCAAAAACGTTTTATTGGTTGGCTCTCTTAATTCGATAGATTAACAAATAATGACTATCAGAGGCAAATGGCAACGGAAATCGTCAGCCAGGAAATGGATGGGAGGACATTGATAGCTCGAGAAAACAAAAAGAGTATGCGAACGATGATGAAGATACTAGACCTGCAAGGCAAATAATGATACTTAAATATGAATTGATAATTTTTCTGTCATAAACGTAGTTATTTAATAGCAATCAACAGTAAATACATTTATCAATGAAAAAATATAATAATGACACTAATAAAGTATGAAAGCACTTACTTAAGTAGAGTTTTTTTCTTTCCATTTTGAAAAATAATATAGAGTATAACCATTAGAAATAAAACGAGTAATATTATTTTGATTATTTCTATGCGTATCAATATATATGTATGTATGTATGTATCTATAAGTTGTTCCAATCGTGCAAGCAAAACAAAACGTGATACATAAATCAAGTGCTAATTGCTTGCACACAAATTATACAGATACTTGCACAGGAACGATATATTTGCTTTTTTCCTTGTCAATCTCTTCTCTATCATTTTGGACAAATCTTGAACATTGTGAAACTATTTTCCGCCGTCGTGATCGTTTCGTATATAACCAGCAATACCACATAATCGGAACTACTTAAAACAAATTAACATTTTTCTCTCTGTTCCTAGTCTTATTCGTCGTTTTTTCTTATATTCTCTATCGCGCTTTCTGGCCAAGTCGAATTCGATTAGGATCTGAACGCTGACTACATAGGCCCGTTTTTTAATTTCAGCACAAACAGGCCATCCATCCTCGGAGAATAGTTCGCCGTCGTCGCCACTCCGTTGTTGTCGTCATCGCTGTTTCTTTTTCCCACACATGCTGCTTTCTTCTTTGCTTGTTGTAGAAATAGAGCAACAGAACGATATCGTTTTTTGGTTCTTGTGTCGTAACTAAAGAGTAAGCTGACTGAATAAAGCATACGCGTGTGACCATTCTATTCCGACATAGTGCGATGTTTGCGCTGTTATTTATTTCTACATCTGCATCATTTATTCATTTTTTATTAATGACCCACTCTTATTCTTTATAGGCTGTGTTTTGCCCGTTCAGGGTTATTATTTTTTGTTTTGCCGTCCAGTACTGTTATTCTCCTGATTAATTTTATCAATAAGAACTTAGTAATTGCTTATGCATTACTCTACACATATATGCATGCTGTTTATGTATATGTAATCATTAGAATTTAATAATTGTATTTCGCCTCAAATTATGAATCCAAAGGCAAGCGACGAGCAGAAAACTACAGATGCGAATTCCATAAAAAGAGAACAAAACGCATCCCGTTCTATTGTTCTCTGTTGTCAGATTAATTATTTTATTCCTTTCATTTTGTTTCTTATTAGACATGATTATCATATTCATACATATATATGTACTATAGTGCGTTTTTATTATTAGTTAGAGATACTACTTGAAAGTCAATTTGTGAAAAACAAGAGTAAGATTGCATGTCTGTGATCATGAAATGAGAGTGAGAACGGCAGATCGATTTTTTTTCTTTTTTTTTTCTTTTCCATCATCTAGTCGATCGGAGAATGCGACAAAATATAAATCAAGTCACATTCTCAGAAATATCCACTGTCGTGAATGTCGAAACAGTTGAACTAATTGTTATTACTAATGAATTCATGTAATTCAACGGCAAGTATGACTTTGATATGATTCTGTTATTTTCTTTTTTGTTACTTTATTTATATTAATGTATTATAGACTAATATAAGAAAATCTCTTGATTCTTTGTTTTTCTCAATAAGTTCTATCCGGATGATAGAACAATTTTTAATCTATTTTCTAATATTAATATTTCTTTTTAAATGATCATTTGATGAAATATTTCTCTATTATTTATAGAATTAATAATTTATACAAATTTTGCATTGTCTCTATGTAGACCTCCGTCGTCTTAGTCATTTTTAATTCGTTCAGTTTTTCGATAAATGTCTTTAGTTTTTTTTGCAAACAAGATGAATACTCATTATTTACTATATCAAAATTTGTTATTAGTCTATTCAAATGCTAAGAAAAGATTCAGATCTTTCATTACATAAGTATCACGAACGACAACGAGTGACTTAGTAGTAATAAGAAATAAAGCTTTTTATGTTATTAAAATAAGAAGAAGAGGAAGAAAAAAAAACTGTTGACAGTTCATGTTGTAAGAACGTGACAATAGATTCGTTGTAAGTTTTAATAAACTGCACTTAGTTATCAATTATGTTCTCTGAAATCTTTATTGTAAACGATAATTTAAAATGCTCGGTTTTTTTTATTCAAAAGTACTATAAATGATCTTTTAGTTTCATTAATCATTTTGCTGTTCGAATAAAATAAGGAAAAAAACATAAGAAAAGTGTTTTTTTTAGTGCCCTGAGAATTGTATACTTCGATGATTCGAGGTACTGATTAATAGCGCCATCTGTAGGGAATTATTTCCAATTCTCACAGTACTAATATTTCTTATCTCATTTATCAATTTGTTCAATTTAAAAAACGATTTCTTTTTCTTGCCGAGTCCCCATGAAATTATTTACATTTGCTTTCTCTCTCTTTCTCTCCCTGAGATCAACTCTTGATTACAGACCCTTGCAACAAGTATTTTCTTTTATTAATAGAATGAACATTTTTTTCCGAGTTTTATATTTTTTGTATTTTCCATCTGTTAGTTTTAATTTAATGATTACTCTTTCTTTTGTTATTCTCTCACTTTTCCTTTCTTTTCTCCTTTCTCTTTTTCCCTCTCTGTTAAATCAACAAAACTGAAATGATCAGTAATATATAGTTTTCCATGATTTAAACTCTTTTTTTCTCCTGCTGTGAACACATCAATGAAAGATGAAACGATTTGTTTTGTATGTATTAGCATGTTCTACGATCTGGCACTCTATCCTTAAGAATCTTTGTTTTTTCCCCCTGTATTATCAAGCTCTATCCTCATTTCATCGAGTATTAAGAGAAAAAGATAGACTCATCGAGAAAATCGACGTTGTTTGACATATATCACCACATACTAATCGAATAGTGGAGGAAGCCGAACGAACAAAGAGCTTTACATTGTGTCATTATCAAATGAGGAAACCATCGATTTGCAAGACAACAACAAAGAACTACAAAAAAAGAAAAAAAATGCTGTTGTTGCTTGTTTGTTGTGTTTCTTTTTTTCTCATTAATATCTAAATATTGTTGATGGGTAGGAGGGGAATAACGATAGTTCGCACTCACTCAGTCGCTTATTGATGATGTGAAAAGAAAGGAAGGAAGAAAGAATGAATAAAATGCATGAGAACAAAACGTTTGCTGTTACGACTAGCTGCCACACACATTTCATACATGCTCCTATAACAACAATAACAGGATCGACGACGACGACGACGATGACGACGACGACGACGACGACGATACAAAAACAAATGCTAGCAGAAGAAAAATAATGCTTTCTACTTTTCTGCATTTTTCCTCTTTGTTTCCTCTGCTACTCTTAGATTCATCGCGTCCTTTCTTTCTTTCTTTCTTCATCTAGCAGCTAGAAAAACTTGATAAATGAATTTCTTTGACTCTATCTCGTCAATGTGCCGTACACACATGCACACACATAGTATACTATGGAAAAGAAAAGTCGAAGGAAAAGAACATTGCCTGGCACCCGTGCAATGAGGAGAGAGAGAGAGAGAAACAAAGCAGGAAATCTATTTTCATATTCCAATAGGCGGTATGTGGTTCTGTCTGGTTCTCTTCTCTTACTTTCTAAATGTGTGCATGCAGGTGTTTCTTTCGACAGCCTTGTTACGACAAACAAGGACACATAGTAATGTAATACTATATGTATAATCGATGATGATAATTTTTATATTTCGTAGAATAATGCTAATTGTCGTATTTTTTTCCTAATATTCTAGATCTATTTTCCATCTATTAGTCTTGTTTGTCTTATCATGTTACAATATTATGGATCAATTACATTTGAAATAGAACGAAGAATACCAATGTATCTAAAACCTATGACCCCATTATTCTTCTCGTCTTGATGGATAGACCATGATCGTTATGGCAACAAGCACAACCGTATCTAATAATGTTTCAAATTCCTCTTCGTCCAATAAAACATCAGCTGCATCTTCACCACCAGCAACATCATCAATAATGACAGCAACAACAAATAATTCAACATATCCACCAACGATTGATCGTGTGATGAAAAGTAAAAATTAGTTTCTGTTTTTTTCTTGTAATCAAAAATTTTAAATAAAAACTTATTTTTTTATAGACATTCCATGTCCACCAAATACACGTTTGACTTCATATGATGTATTCGATTCTCGTGGAAAACCTCGTGTTGATATTCTTAAAGCACATTTTATTACTGAAGGTCGAGTCACTGAAGATGTAGCTCTTAAGATAATTGAAGACGGTGCAAAACTTCTGCGACAAGAAAAAACAATGGTTGATGT